GGTGTCTTCTCTCCGTCAGAACGTCCCGTTACGAGAGATCTGGATTGATGAGAACTACGGCTGCCTCCATTTTGTTCTGGTGAGGTACTATCTTCTAGCGACGTGCTCGGTAGCGAAGGGAGAGGGCACGTTTCAGTGACGCTGAAAAGAACTCCTTCAATCCCGGAAAGATTTGTTACGGGCGTGTATGTCGATGCTTTTTCCTTCTGTGGTGTCGCCAATGCTTCATTTTCAGAGTCTTATAAATCATAATGTTGAACAGAATCATTCCCTATCGCCAGCAGTTCCTCGACTGTCTCGTCGCTTTCGGAAACTTCATCCTCACTATCTACATTCTACAAATAAAAGAAACGTATCTTAAGTCTTCCACAGCCTGCTTTCCTGTTACTTATAAACAGCTATCGAAATCGAAATGGTGTACGATACCAATAATTTTGCAAATTTAGAAACTGGCTTCGTGAACTTATGAAAGTGAAAGGGAAATAAACATCACGAATTTTTCCCTAACAGAAAATAACCCCGCCAGAAGGAAGACAACGATTGAGATTTACCATGTTGCCACTGTTTTTGTCCTGTGAACTCATGACTACTATATTTTGACTTTGCTCCTCAATTTTCCAACCTGACAACTGTGAAATAACGAAAGGTTTCGCTTTTCGTTCATCAGTGAGCGAAAGTTTAGGTTTTGTCCTCTGGGATGCCTCCTTTGATTGGACAATTGCTTCCCGAAACACAAACCTGATTGGGCGGAGGAAATTACTTCGGGGAATCCCCGCCACATGTTTAATTCTGGGGAACGGAAAGTCGTCGAAAACTTGCTTATCGAATCATATTTTCTTCATCGATTGAATTTTTGATTTAACACTCTGAAAGGTAGGGTTTAAACATGTAATTTAGGTATATTGCTAAAGCTCCTTGGACAAATTAACTTTTGTTTTTTTAAACAAGCACGAAACGTGGAAATGTAGACTTCAAAAACTTGCTGATCGAATCATTGGTCCTCATCGATTGGACTTTTGGAGGTTATATTTAGATACAGAATACCCAAAATAACTGTTTAAGTTTTCATTTGTTTCCCTAGATCTATACGCGAATGGAACTCATTGCTTTCAGACGTTGTCAATTCTAGGACTTTACAAAGTTTTAAAACCGTTTTAGCAAACTATTTTAAATTTAAAGTATGTAGAGGTAGCGACTAGGAATTCATTTTATTTTTTTATTCTTTTTCCGTTCTTATTTTTCTCATTACTTATATAATACATTTTTAAGAAAAGTTAGTTTGCTGTCTCACGATTTTTATCGACGTAATGAAATTAAGATGTAGATTTTATTTAAGCTTCCGAATAGGGTATTTCTTTCTTTTTTGGCTTCAGTTTAATACGCACTTAGAAAACCAGTACGAATTTTGAAGTCAATTTTTAAAATGGTCTGATTTCCTGTAATTGGGAAACAATGGTCTCTAGTGTTTAGTGTTGAACTATGTGTTTTGTTCTCTATATAAAGTCTACTGTGGTCGGCTGTGTCCAAATTGGGATTGCCAAATGGTAAACGTTTTCTATATCATGAGCTTGTTGGTAAGTAATTATTTCACCCTACTGTAGGAAACTTCAACAGCCTGCTTCAGTGAACCCATTAAAGCCATAAACCCAAACATTAACTTAAATATTACCCAAGTTCAAAAGACACCTGACTATACATATCTATTAGTTACCACTTTCTATTCCATTGCTCGACGTGTTTGCTTCTTTTCAATTTCTTTTTCTTCATTCCCTACCCCCTCTAAACACCAAAAATTGTCCAAACCCCCACCAACTTATCTTGTCACATTACTTCAACATATTTTCTAACCCCAGAATTCTTCCATCTTGTCACATCATCAGGCTAACATCATCTTCCCAAACACCGCTTCCATCTTGTATCATCATTAGGTCTGCAGCTTCTGTATATGTCATCTCCATCCTGTCACATCATTAGGAGCTCATCTGCTATACCAACCATCTTGTCACACTGTAAGGTTTTGTGTGTTCCTGCCAGCCCTACTCCCATCCCCATCCCACATCATCAGGTCTTGACTCCCATAGATATACTACCTCTGTCCTGTCGAGTCATCAGCTTTCCCATCTCCATTCTGTCACATCAGGTCTATCACCTCCCCAGGCTCTATCTTGCCACATCATATGTTTCCCTTAATATAACTGTTCGCCACTGTACTTCCACCTTTACATACTGTTTTTCCCATGTTCCAAATCTATCCATACACCACCTCCATCTTGTCATCCCCAATCTCATATATCCTTTAGTAGGTCTTTCATCTTGCTTCATTAGCATTGCAAACTTCCAACCACACAGCCTCCCCATCTTGTCACATCGTTAGCTTCCATGTCTCAGCCTCTTGATTTTGTCACATTGGGTCAATACTCATGTCATCTGCTGTTCCATCTCCTGATCAAAGCTTCTCCATCTGTCATATCAGCCGTTCCATCCAACCTCTCCATTTTGTCACTTGTACAGCACTCCTTTCCCTTTCTCTTTCATCTTGCCACATGAGCACTCCCATTTCCCAACCTTGACAGCCTTACTGATATCCATTAACTCTCCATCTTGTCATGGTATCATTACCACTTCAATCTGCTAATCAGGGACACAATTTCCCCATCTTGCAACATCATTAGCTCAGCCTATTGCACAATGTTTCCATCTTGGCCTAACCTTATTGCATAACTGCACTCCCATCCCAATGCAACCACGCATGGACTCCATCTTGTCACATTATCAACACTTCTTTTCCTTATCTAAACACATAACTTCCCATCTTGTAACATCACCAGTTCTGGCTCCCATCTCCCACATTTTTGTTATATGATTGGCACTCCTAACATACAACCGCTCCACTAGTTTACTGTATATAATTTATCAGGTTTCCCAACCAATAACATCCAATATATACCTGACCCTGATAATGCCTTAGATGGTAGTATAGATGGTGTAATAAAACTGTGGTTTTCAAGAAATTCAATCACCTTATGCATATAAGGCCGTCCTTGGACATCAACAGACATCTCTCTGGCCTAGAGATCAATTAGTGTAGTTTGATCATGACATTAACAGCGCTAAATTTATGCTGTAAATCTAACTGTATAACTTTGTTAACAAGGTCTGTAACGAGCTCTTATAATAAGCATATTACCCGTTTGTTTTATATTTTCTTGCTGATCAGTCAGTCATTTAGGGATAGTGGTCTACAAGTTTTAAAGGACCAAAATACTAGCAGGTTAAATTTCTATCAAGATGTCTCACTGCATTGACTCCATTTTATTTCCAAGGTTAAGCAAGTGTCTTCAACTATATTTTGCCAAGAAAATGAACAACATAGTATGCTGCAATCTCTGGGTCTTGACAACTTGACCATTCAAGCATTTGGTTTTAGCGTATTGGTTCTATACTTTGCATATGTAATTTTCTCTCCAAAGAGAAAGAGTTGTGGAATAGAAAGGGAGTGTTCATTGAAGAATTTTGATACTCAACCTACAGACGTAGCTCTTACATCTCCAGGTGAGTTAAATTGTTATTTACTGGTAATGCTCTTACCTTAATTTTTGGTACAAGACTAACACCACGTCATCATTTGACTCCAGCTACTAGAATTCATTTTCATTTTTCACTTTTTAACTGCAGTGTAGTTAGTAAGTAACAATTTCCGTAGTAGCAGTAGAAAAAGAAAAAGTGAAGCATTTTGGTAGTTTAGTCAAATGACACCATCTTGCAAATTAAAATAACCTATCATACAACTGAAATGCTGAATAAGTAATTTATATTAGTGTCTCAAACTCTAGGTGTCAGACACAGTTAGACCTGTTTTTCTCTTCTGTAGTATTTGAGGCTAGATTGTTTTTTGTTGTTTAATTAAGTCTCATATCACATATTAAGTAAATGACCTAACTTGCTTAAAGCTTCCTGTAGCTCAGAGGTTCTATCATCTGACTCAGTCACTGGTGCTGGTGCAGAAGCTTGATGAAAGTCAGGGGCCTGTGACAAACTAAGTAACAGTTCGTATATAGCACATTGTTTTGGAGTTCAACAATGGTTTATGGGTTTTTGGTATTTGACTTTTTGCAATGGCTTGTGCTGTGACTGCTCTAGTGACTGTGAACCTTAGAATAATAATGCAAGTGTTCNCTATTTACTTACTTTCACCTTAATCAAACATTGACTATCTAGTTATCTCCCATAAGTAAAACACTCTTAAAAACAGCAAAACAGCCAGCCTCTAAATCTATAAGTCTCAAAGCCTGATCTATTAAAAAGCAAAACTGGTTATTGGCTTACTGGGCCTTAATTTTATGAACCAGTTTCCTGTGGATATATACAGTAATCACCTTTCTTTTTTTCTTTTTTTCTTCTTTTTTCAAGGTTTTTTTTTATCTTAATGAAAACAGTTAACAATAATATCATAATAATGTGTTAACAACATTACCAATGGGACAGAGAACCTGAGTACTCCATGTAGAATTAATCTTTCTGCAAGTTGTTTTCTTTTCTTCCCATCAGTCTGGAACCTGTGGAGAAGACAAACCTGAGGTAAAACACCAACTGCTATAGCACTGTGACAAGAATAATATTGAAAACAATATTGTTACTTTTTCGTTGATGGAGTAACACGTATATAACTAGAATAATGAATCACAACAGCTAACAAAAATAGAACATTTAGCAAAAAGTAGCGCCTGTTTTAACTGTAAAGATAAGATAATAACCTTTATTTAAGTGTCAATACAAATTTTAGTGCATTTCCAGCACTACAGCTGCGGATACTAAGAAAGTAACTGTAAAATATAAAAGGGACTGAAATTTCTTTTAATAGAGGTCCTATCCTCAAAAGCATTTTAACAGCAAAAATTGTGTAACGAAATATTGATTGCACACTAACAGGGCATTGTGATATTTGAAGGAAAATTAAGATTTACCCAAATAGCAATGGAGAAAAACAGGGTAGACTGCACTGTTGAATCAACTGTCAATGTTATTTTGCCTTGTTCTTGACAAAGCCTTCCAGGTCCACCAGTATACTCCACCCTAAAATGTGACTTGGCCCCTGGTGCTACTCTGTTTTCACTCTCACAGCGAATGTTTGGAACCCTGAAAACCTAAAAGTACAAGGATAATTTATGGTGAGTAACAAAGTGTAAAATTAATATAAATTGATATTTTTTATGTAAACATAATATTAGTGAACACATGAAGTATTGCGGAGAAAGTCGAAGAGAAAAAAATGCTGGGATTCAGTCATTCAACACTCCAAAAATAGCTTTTCCAATAATGTCTAATACATTGTAACATTGCAATGTAACTGTAAACAAGCATAATTTTTTTTTACAAAATTACTTGGAAATATAATGTACTGAAAAACTCAGATTTTATCTGAAATCAATACATCATTGTTGTCATAATTTAAACAATTTTGTTTTGTTAACTATATAACAGCCTGTGAGAAGGCTCACATGTTTGTAGGGTTCTTTTTGGGTTTCACATGGGCTTTAGTGTTACTGAGTGAATTTGTCTTGGGCCACTGATCCAAACAAGAGAGCCTGCTCACGAACATGAGAGCCTGTTTGTAGGTTAATATTATTCTTATGAACTTACGTATTCTCGTCCAGCATCTAGAGTGACAAAGTTTCGCTGCCATTGGCTCTCTAGTTCAAATGACACTTTCATCTGCTCCTGCACATACAGGGTATGAAACTCTCGGCTCCTGGCATTATCAACAGCAAATGGAATTTGTCTGGTTTTGTAGCCTTGCTGTGATGTTGTGTCATCGACGTAACTCTCCAAAATGGCTTTGTAAACCTATGAAAAAGTCATTTTCTGTAAATATGAAGTTTTAACAAGTGGGTACAACTGTGGCTTGGTAGCCAAGAGATTGGCTAAATTAATCTAAACAGCAATCCACTGAATATGAGTGAATCGTTCATAGTTTGGTCTCCCACCCCTTTTTTGATCCGAGAGGAAAAAGAAGTCAAACCCGGGTTAAGTAAAAGTCTTTTCTGACAGCATGTTACAATTATAAATAATCTCTCACCCTGGTACCTTTTAAAACCATTATTCAAATACAGTATATGTATGTGTTTTTCATACCACCTGCCAAACAACTTCAAAAAAAAACATCTGTTATTAAATTAGAATTAGTTTTTGTCAGAAGGATTTGAAAGTAAGTTAACAGTGCTAAACGTTGCTTGAATCTACAGTTGTACAACATTTTACCTGGTATTTCTCTTCGGGAATTATAAACAGGATATACAACTTCTCATTCCTTTCTTGGTGTGTTCTTTCTAAGAGAAACAGTCTCGCCATCATTCCTGGGCATGGACTCTGCACTGAGCGCTCACAAAAATCTGCAAGGGATTGATATGTAATCGGAATCAAAAGTGTTAGTGGGCGGGTGGCCTAAATTGAAAATTACTGTTTGTTCTTATACGTGAAATACTGAGACACTGAAATGGAAGCAGTTGTCTGTTAAGATTGTTACGCAAAGTAAAGCATATATATTGTTCAGTGTTCTCACAATTTTGTCGACTGAAGTTTTAGCAGGAAAGCATCACACATGAAGAGCCCAAACCAGACAAGCAAGGGTAAATGATCGAATTTTTACTGAGAATAACGGATAATATCGACTACGTTGAAGTACGAGAATCTTAATGTAAAAGACAGAGACAGTCTTCAGTGAGTTAGCATTGCAACTTTTATAGGCAAGGAACAAAGCAAAGCAAACTTAAACAAAAGTTCTTGGATTCTTCGAGCTTACTTTGTACGGGTGTCTTCTCTCCGTCAGAACGTCCCCTTACGAGAGATCCGGATTGATGAGAACTACATGTACGGTTGCCTCCATTTTGTTCTGGTAAGGTGCTATCTTCTAACGACGTGCTCGGTAGTGAAGGGAGGGGGTACGTTTCAATGACGCTGAAAAGAGCTCCCTCAACCCCGGAAAAATTTGTTACGGACATGTATGTCGGTGCTTTCTCCTTCTGTAGAGTCGCCAATGCTTCATTTTCAGAGTCTTCTAAATCATTATGTTGCACAGAATCATTCCCTATCGCCAGCAGTTCCTCGACTGTCTCTTCGCTTTCGGAAACTTCATCCTCACTATCAGCATTCTACAAATTAAATAAACGTGTCTTAAGTCTTCCACAGCTTGCTTTCCTGGTACTTATAAACAGGTATCGAAATCGAAAAGGTGTACGATACCAATAATTTTGCAAATTTAAAAACTGGCTTCGTGAGCTTACGAAAGTGAAAATGAAATAAACATCGCGAATCTTTCCCTAACAGAAAATAACTCCGTCAAAAGGAAGACAACGATTAAGATTTACCATTTTGCTACTGTTTTTGTCCACTGAACTCATGATTACTATATTTTGACCTCCTAGCTCCTCAATTCTCCAACCTAACAACTGTGAAGTAGTGAAAGGTTTCGCTTTTCGTTTATCAGTAAGCGAAAGTTCGGTTTTAACTCTGAGATGTCTCCTTTGATTGAAACCCAAACCTGATTGGACGGAGGAATCCATTTCGGGGAATCCCCCGCCACATGTTCAATTCTGGGAAGTCGTGGATTTCGAAAACTTGCTAATCGAATCATATTTTCCTCGTCGATTGGAATTTCTGACTTTAAACTCTGAAAGGTAGGGTTAAAACATGTAATTTAGGTATATTACTAAAGCTCCTTGAACAAATTAACTTTTAATGTGTTTTAAACAATCACGAAACGTGGAAATGTAGACTTCAAAAACTTGCTGATCGAATCATTATTTGTTCTCATCGATTGGACTTTTGGAGGTTATATTTAGATACAGAATACCCAAAATTACCGTTTAAAAGTTTTCATTTTCTCCCCTAGATCTATACGCGAATGGAACTCATTACCCTCAGACATTTTTAATTGTAGGTCTTTACAAAGTTTTTAAACCATTTTAGCAAACTATTTCAAATTTAAAGTATGTCGAGGTAGCGACTAGGAATTCATGTTATTTTTTTGAAACTTTTTACGTTCTTATTTTTTCTCGTTATGTAATATATGTTTTAAGAAAAGTTAGTTTGATGTCTCACGATTTTTTATCGACGTAATGAAATGAAGATGTAGATAATATTTAAGCTTCTTGAACAAAGTATTTTTTTCTGTTTGGGCTTCAATTTAACACGCACTTAGAAAAACCAGTACGAACTTTGAAGTCAATTTTTAAAATGTCCTGATTTCCTGTAATTGGGAAACAATTGTCTCAAGTATTTAGTATTTAACTAGGTGTTTTGTTCTCTATAAGTCTACTGTGGTCGGCTGTGTCCAAATTAGGATTGCCAAATGGAAAACGTTATCTTTATCATGAGCTTGTTGGTAAGTAATTATTTCACCCTACATTACCGTCGTCTGACACAACGTCCTTTTTTACATACGCTTAAGTAAGTAGCCTGTAGGAAATTTCAACAGCCTGCTTCAGTGAGCCCACTAAAGCCATAAACCCAGACATAAACTTAAATATTACCCAAGTTTAAAAGACACCTGACTGCACATATCTAACAGTTAGCACTTTCTATTCCATTGCTCGGTGTGTTTGCTTCTTTTCAATGTCTTTCTTCATTCCCTACCCCCTCTTAACACCAAAATTAGTCCAAACCTTCTCTATATGTCGTCTCCATCCTGTCACATCATCAGGAGCTCATCTGATATACCAACCATCTTGTCTCACTGTAAGGTTTTGTATGTTCCTGACAGCCCTACTCCCATCCATCCCACATCATCAGGTCTCGACTCCCATAGATATACTACCTCTGTCCTGTCAGGTCATCAGCTCTCCCTCCTCCATACTGTCACATCAGGTCTATCACCTCCCTGGGCTCTATCTTGCCACATTATAACTCCTCGCAACTGTACTTCTACCTTTACATATCATTTTCCCTATGTTCCAAATCTTCTATCCATACAGCGCCTCTGTCTTGTCATGTCATTATGTTACCCATCCCTAGTCTCATATATCCTTTAGCAGGTCTTTCATCTTGCTTCATCAGCATTGCAAACTTCCAACCACACAGCCTCCCCATCTTGTCACGTCATTAGCGTTCATGTTTCAGCCTCTTGATTTTGTCACATTTGGTCAGCACTCATATTATCTGCTGTTCCATCTCCTGATCAAAGCTTCTCCATCTGTCATATCAGCCGTTCCATCCAACCTCTCCATTTTGTCACTTGTACAGCACTCCTTTCCCTTTCTCTTTCATCTTGCCACATGAGCACTCCCATTTCCCAACCTTGACAGCCTTACTGATATCCATTAACTCTCCATCTTGTCATGGTATCATTACCACTTCAATCTGCTAATCAGGGACACAATTTCCCCATCTTGCAACATCATTAGCTCAGCCTATTGCACAATGTTTCCATCTTGGCCTAACCTTATTGCATAACTGCACTCCCATCCCAATGCAACCACGCATGGACTCCATCTTGTCACATTATCAACACTTCTTTTCCTTATCTAAACACATAACTTCCCATCTTGTAACATCACCAGTTCTGGCTCCCATCTCCCACATTTTTGTTATATGATTGGCACTCCTAACATACAACCGCTCCACTAGTTTATATAATTTATCAGGTTTCCCAACTAATAACATTCAATAAATACTTGACCCTGATAGTGCTCTAGATGGTAGTATAGATGGTGTAATAAAACTATGGTTTTCAAGAATCACCATATGCATATAAGGCCATCCTTGGACATCAACAGACATCCCTCTGGCCTAGAGATCAATTAGTGCAGTTTGATCATGACATTAACAGCGCTAAATTTATGCTGTAAATCTAACTGTATAACTTTGTTAACAAGTTCTGTAACATGAGCTCCTATAATAAGCATATTACCCTTTTGTTTTATATTTTCTTGCTGATCAGTCAGTCATTTAGGGATAGTGGTCTACAAGTTTTAAAGGAGCAAAATACTAGCAGGTTAAATTTCTATCAAGATGTCTCACTGCATTGACTCCATTTTATTTCCAAGGTTAAGCAAGTGTCTTCAACTATATTTTGCCAAGAAAATGAACAACATAGTATGNGTCTCACTGCATTGACTCCATTTTATTTCCAAGGTTAAGCAAGTGTCTTCAACTATATTTTGCCAAGAAAGTGAACAACATAGTATGCTGCAATCTCTGGGTCTTGACAACTTGACCATTCAAGCAGTTGGTTTTAGCATATTGGTTCTGTACTTTGCACATGTAATTTTCTCTCCAAAGAGAAAGAATCGTGGAATAGAAAGGGAGTGCTCATTGAAGAATTTTGATACTCAGCCTACAGACGTAGCTCTTACATCTCCAGGTGAGTTAAATTGTTATTTACCGGTAATGCTCTTACCTTAATTTTTGGTAGAAGACTAACACCATGTCATCATTTGACTCCAGCTACTAGAATACATTTTCATTTTTATCTTTTTAACTGCAGTATAGTTAAGTAAGAATTCCCTTAGTAGCATGAGAAAAAGAAAAAGTGAAGGATTTTGGTAGTTTAGTCAAATGACACCATCTTGCAAAATAACCTATCATACAACTGAAATGCTAAATAAGTAATTTATATTAATGTCTCAAACTCTAGGTATCAGACACAATTAGACCCGTTTTTCTCTTCTTCTGAATTATTTGAGGCTAAATTATTTTCTTGTTGTTTAATTAAGTCTCATATCACTTATTAAGTCTTGTTTAAAGCTTCCTGTAGCTCAGAGGTTTAGATCATCTGACTCAGTCACTGGTGCTGGTGCAGAAGCTTGATGAAGTCAGGCCTGTGACAAACTAAGTAACAGTTCATATATGGCACATTGTTTTGAAGTTCAGCAATGGTTTATGGGTTTTTGGTATTTGACTTTTTGCAATGGCTTGTGCTGTGACTCCTCTAGTGACTGTGAACCTTAGAATAATAATGCAAGTGTTCTTAAATCTTGACCATTCTACTCATGCTCATGCAGTCCTGCACAAGACATATACATAGACTCGGTCCAAGACCACAAAAAGAGGAATATATAAAGATAGAGTTATCATTAAATGCTGATTTTATATTTAACAATATTTCCGATATTTCCTGTTTTTCCAATAGCCAACAAGAATGTGTTGTGTGACTATCCAGTACAACATAGTGCTGGCCATGTAGTATTTGAAAAGACAGGAGTAGAAGTCATTGGTTGTGATAGCTTTACACCCAGTGACCGATGTGCTGTGCCAAACGATTTGGTCATACAAGCAAGCTCTGAATCAGAACAGTCGGGCCTTCTAGAAGAGGATGAATTGCCACTTAGCCCAGGAATAAAGTTAATTTCAAGTGTCTCAAAGTTGAATGGGCAACTTGAAGTCTGGGTACCTCATGGTGCAAACATGGTTTTAACTGGCCAAAAATGGAATATCATTCTGAAGGAGTACCAAAACAATAGATGGGTAACTGTAAGCCAAACTGAAAGTTTCACAGGCCAAGGAATAAAGAATATTGTCTGCAAAAGCAACCATGTAAGATTTAATACAGATCATCTGTCAACATTTATAG